CAGAAAAGCAACAACCCTGGATGGAAGCATGAATGGAGCCACAAACGTGTAAAATGCTATTTACTGCTTGCTTAGGGTTATATGGAGAGTCTAAATGTGTGTACAGGCACATACACATAAAATTTTATATGTCTATGTCCCTAAACAACACAGAGAGACAGGGTGGATGGGGGAGTGGACAGAGAGAGAAAATTAAAAATATGAATTTCAGAACCTTGTAACTTTCTAGGAGAAGGCTAGGAAGATAAATACAGACAGGAGACATACCTTGAGGACTCCAACTATATCTGTAATGCTTAATTTTTTTTAAAAAAGTTGGATATTGGATGGGAAGATGTTTATTATGTTCTCATCTACACAGTTTGTGTGTAGAAAATAATATGGTTCTATGTTACGTTTTGTGTGTAGTTGTCCCTGCAAAGCCTCATGCCGTCACAGTCATTAGGGTGTGGTTCTAGACTTTTCGATTAATTCAGGATCCAAGGCTGGGATTGTGGGTCTGAGGACTGCTGGGATTATGGGTGTGCGGGCCACACCCACCCTGGGGCAGGTAGCCTGGAGGCAATAGAAGAAAAGGAGACAGGCTTGCCTCGCCACTACTGCCACCGCTGCCACCACTCCTCGCTTCTGCGTTTGCTCCTTGCTGTTTTCTGCCGCCATGAACTGCTGTCCTCTGCATGTGGCACTCTGTCTTGGAGGCAGCTGAGTACGGGCTGGAACCTCCACAACCTGTGAGCTAAATAGCCCTTTCTTTCCTTACATTTAGGTGTTGGGTATTTTGTCACAGCAACAAGAGAAAAATAACTGAGACATCCTATATCTATGTATTTTTAAATTTTAAAATGAAGAGAGTAAGGTGTTTACTTTTTTTTTTTTTTTTTTTTTCAATGTATTTGGTTGTTATAGGGTCTCACTATGCAGCTCAGACTGATAGTGATCTTCCTGTTTTTAGCCTCCCCAGAGCTGGGATTATAGGCCTGGACTCTGACCAGCTTAACCAGCCCTGGGGGCAGGGCTGGTGCAGCATGTGGTACCCGAGATCGAATGGGGTCCCTGTGCTTGCCTAAGCTTGTCCAAGCAGGCACTTCAGTCTGCTGAGCTATCTCATCAGCCCAGGTCTTTATTTTAGAAATAGTGCTGGGGATGATATAGGAGATAGCTCAGCAAAACAGTGCCTGTCTGGCAAGTGTAAGGTCCTGAGTTCAATTCCTGGTACCAAAAAAACAAAACCAAAACTGCAGGATGTAGTGGCACACACCTGTAATTCTAGCACTTGGGAGGCTGAGGCAAGAGGATTATTGTGATTTGAGACCAGCCTGGGTTACAAAATGAGCTCAAGGCCAGCCTGAACTGCATAGTGAGACCCTGTCTCAAAAGAGACAAAGAAAGAAAGAAAGAAAGAAAGAAAGAAAGAAAGAAAGAAAGAAAGAAAGAAAGAAAGAGCAAGCTTGAGGCGATATTTGGGCTTTTACCAAAAGGGAAACCAGCTATGGGGAGAATCCTTTGCTGCCTGTTTGATCCAGCCAGTAGACAGACTGCCAACCCCCAAGCCCTAAATAGGAATCCCCAAAAAGAGCTGGAGCACTTGCCGAGAGGGTACCCACCACAGAAAAAGCGACAGTGAAGTAACACCAGCAGAGAAAACGCTAGAGGAACAGCTGGGTTGCTACAACAAAAAGCAAAGGAAATGCAATCGCTTAGGTTCCTGGGGTGAAGGAAGCATGCTTGATGAAGTACTGGCCTGTGAGTGGCAGCAGGAAAGAAAGTAGGTGGAGAAGGCAGCGTGACTTGCCCAGAGAGTTATCTGTATTGACTTCAGCAAAAACAAAGTTAGAAGCACAAAAAAGAGCAATTTCTGTGAAGAAACTTCTGCTTCCAGACATGAGCTTTTACTGGGATTGAACTTGCCCTCTCACCAGTAAACAACTAGGACACTGGGCAAAATGTGGGATCCAGTTGCTTTCTTTAGACAACACAAAGTGCCGGGTGGGATCCCTCAATGAAGGGAAAACCAGTGAAGTGATCCTTACTGTATTCCCAGCTCTGCCTGGGGGTGGGCATGGTGGTCTTGCTGAGATGAGGAGGAAAGTGTCGGAGTTTGGGGAGACTGAGGTAGCTGGAATTTATGAAACCGGCAGAGAAAGTGCTCTGGAAATTCTGAGCTCTTTGAGTCTTTTTTTTTTTTTAACATGAAAATTTATTGTTAATATCTTTTCATCATCAAAATTTCTGATCTCAGTCTTTGCTTCTTGCCTTTGTAGAGAGCCAAAAGGGAGACACTGGCTACTTTAACAAACTTAAAATGGCCTTCAGAAATGTCACCAGCAGCATGACATTTGTGACCAAATCTAGCAACCAGAACTTCATCATTTTCCTCCATAAAGTTCAAGTACCCATTATCAGAGATAAAAACTGTGACTTTCACACTGTTCTTAATCAGCTTTACTCTCACACACTTCCAAATGGTAGAGACCAACATCAAAGCATAAATTATTAGACATCCAAAGAAGAAAAAAAATGTAGTCTATTATTTTTTAAAATATTTAATTTAATTTATTTATTTGGTACAGGGTCTCCTATGTAGCTTGGACTTGCAGTGATCCTCCTGTCTCAGCCTCCCCAGCATTGGGATTACAGGCATGCTCCACCACACCCAGTTTTGAACCCAGGTCCTTGTGCTTGCCAGGCAGGCTCTTAGACTGCTGAGCTATCTCCCCAGTCCCCAAAATGTAGTTTATAAATAAAACAAAAACAGTTAATACAAACAGAGCAGAAATAACACAGAGCATGTTCCTGAGTGGCAAGGACATAACAATACTAGTATAAATATGCTCAAGGGTGTAATGAAAGCCATAAAAGTAGAAGAATAAAATAGAAGCTCTAAAAAAGAAACAAATGGAACTTTAGGAGCTCAAAAGTACCATATATGAAATGAAAGATTCACTAAGTAGACAATGAAGAGGAAAAGACCAGTGGACTTGGAAATACAGCAGCAGAAACTAGCCAAGCTACAGAAAGGAATACCAAAAATAAAGTATTAACACATCTACAGTGATCCATGAGAATATACTAATTAACACAATCTGGCTGGAATCCTTAAGGATGGTAGAGAAAGCAGAAGAAATATTTGAAGGAATAATGACATTTTCCAAACTTGACAAAGTCTACAATCACATGAATTGAAAAAATCCAACCAACCTTAAATTGGATAAAGATCAGTTGAGACAGAATGAGACAGAAAGTACATGCTGGAGGATGGGGGGCATGACTCAGTGGTTGGGTGCTTGCCTAGAATGGCTTTGATCCCCCGCTTGCCAAGACCCTGGATTTCATCCCCACACCACACACAAAAAGTGCATTCAGAATTCTCTCAATAAGGGAGTGATTTTATGAATGGCACTAGTCCAGTAAGGAAAGGGAAACTTCTGCAAAATGCAGAGAACTATACAACTTACAATATGGAGAAGTCGAAACCAGCCTGCGAGGCACAACACAGAATAAGAGGTGGCCCCTCTAGAGGAGCCAAATACTGGAAGGTGCCAACAAGTCACAGAGTAAGAAAGCAACTCATGGGAATAAAGGAGTGTGGTGTGGCACCCCTCCCCAACCCCAACCCCATCCTGTTTTCACCCTTTCCTTTTGGTCCCCTTGTTCCCATGCCACAGTTTGGACAGCACACATCTCAGAACTGAACTCAAAGCTCCATCTTTTCTCTGTGCCACCTATCCTACAAGTCATTGCTGGCCTCGTGGCCTCTCTTATGAGAAAGTCACATCCATCCTCTGCCCTTATCTCCGCTTTCAATGAGCCCAGATATCTGTGTGTCTCAAAGCCACAGCTGTTGGAAGTGGTTGATGTTCCTTTGCTTCCAAGTGGATCCGAGTCTGTTCTCTCAGCCTGTTTCTTGCTAGTATCCTAGTTGTTGAAGACTGATGTTGGCTCTCTTAAGCCCAGCCTGGGGACGTTGAACCCAGGAGGCCACAAAAATGTCTCCTTACAGTCCGACGTTCTTGCTTGAGAAGCATTGAAGTGTTGAGGGAGGCATACTGGATTGGGAATCAGATTTGAATCTTAATACTGATTCTATTAAAAAGAGACAGGGGCTAGGGAGATAGCTAAGTGGAATAAGCACTTGCCTGGCAAGTGCAAGGGCCTGAGTTCAATCCCTGGTTCTGCAAAAAAAGAAAAAAAAGAGAGAGACAGCCTAAGGCTCTGTGGTCTAATATTGAGCAAGAAAGCCAGCTATTGAGCATGTAAAATGTAGCTGAAGTGACTGAATAATGAAATTTTAAATCATATTTAATTTTAATTAACTTTAACTTTAACATTCAGAACACTAAATCATTTTTGACTAAACATATTATGGAAAATACTTTTTTATTGTACAGCATGTGTTGAGTGACTGCATGGTTTCTAGTATATACATAAACACATTTCTGATTTAGTTAGCATTCGTGGATTAATTGGTTTGACTGATGTATCTTGCCAATGTAACATTTTAATGTGTTTATTTGAATATGGAATTCAGATGATACAAGTTAGTGTTATCTGTGTAAGCCAAAAATTGGTAATAGAATTTAAGTACTTATTTTAATTTTAGGTAGTATTTAAAAATATGTTCCTAATTTAAAACAATAAGTATGCAAAAGTTTTGGCACTTAAGATAAAAGAAGTGAGTAGTGATACCGGAGTTAATAAATACCATCATTAGCATACTAAATAATAGAAACCAAAGAAGGCAAATCCTAAACACAAAACCAACAGGCCTATGTTTGAAAGTGCTCTTCAAACTTCATGTTGAAGTTTCATTGTCACTGTGATGGTACTGGAGGTAGGACCTTTACATTTGCTGGGCGAATGGATGAGTTATCCCAGAGTATCTTTGTTATAAAAGCAATCTCTCCAAGTGCAACTTCTCTTCTCTTCTCTTCTCTTCTCTTCTCTTCTCTTCTCTTCTCTTCTCTTCTCTTCTTCTTTTCTTTCTGTATCCAGGAAGAAGAATCAGATAGGAGCCATCAGGGTATTGTAATTTCTGATTACACAAACATGTTAACCAAATATTTTGGGAACTCTAGTGATTGCGTTCTGGTCTGCCTGCCTGAAGGAGGAATAGGTAAGAACCACTGCGCCTGACCATGTGAGTGTTCCCTTGTTCCCCTTTCTCTTTGTCATTGTAAATGTGGGTGCCGTGCTCTCAGACGTTGCCACTATCCAAACTGTGAGAAATACATTTCTTTCTTTTTTTTCTTTTTAAAAATTTAAAATGTTTATTTGTACATATTTTCATTAAATAATGTTTTCATTCATTATGGGGATTGGTATATGTTCATAAAACATCTTATTTCTTTTTTCCATAATTTTATTGATAAACAAATAGCAATGAGACAGTTTCAA